TTTCTTGTAGGATCAGGCCTAAACTGTAGGAGACAAGAGTCTCCAAGTTCAGCTGACCGCCACACCACATGCCCGCCGTACACCCAGCGGTGTCTAAACACAGACGACCCAGAGAAAAGAGGCACCAATACGTTGGTGTTCTTTTTTTTCTTGCCTCTCGTGATTCACCTTCTTCTATTTAATCTTGTTTATGCATTTGTTTCATTATTGGGCAATCTTTTATCTTTTCCTCTTTTGTTTTTTTTTTACCTTTCCTTTTTGGTCACATAAATTTCCCCTTTCTTACTAGTAGGCTAAAAAGCCTACTTAGAGTAGTAGTATTTTCTGTAGCTCCCTGGTTCTTTATTTTGTTAAAGCTGTTTTTTTTTAAAGCATGGGTTCAACATATTTGACAATTACTTTGTTTTTCTTAAAACAATAAAAAAAAGAATCAGGTTTTAAAAGGAAAATATACTTTTATACTTAATATCTTAAGATCTTGTATAACTGATAAAATGTTTTATTGAAGTTATTTACACTTAAGGGTCCAGCTGATGCTGGAAAATTGATATACTTTAAGATTCCTTTTTTAAACAAATACAAATCTGTTAAGGGGAGTGAGGAAGGGTGGCAAGCTTAAAGAAGAAAAGGGGGAAGAGAGGGTTCTCTTATGCCCAGAATTTGAGGCAGTTAACATGGCTGAAGCTTACAGTCCAAAGCTCCGGTGCTGTGCGCTCAAGTGTTGCAGGTGCAATCTGGAGGCGTAGCAGGCTCCGCGTCGGCAGCCGGGCTCACGCTGGCGCCTTCTTTGCGCACAGCCTGGTAGGGGTCCAGCTTGGAGACCAGCTTGGCGGAGGCGGAGAAGCCGTTCCACATACAGTCCTGCAGGATGATGTTCTTCACGAAGGTCTCGTCGTCCGGGTCGCAGACGAAGCTCTGCTTCACCGCGTCTCCTCCTGGCAGCTCGGGCAGGTCTGCGGTGGAGAAGGTATCACCGTCGTGGTCCCTGGGGGAGAAAGACGCGGCGACCGCTTCGCAGGGAGGCGAGTAGAGCCCGGCGTGGCCTGGGGACGGGCGCGGCGTGGGCAGCAGCTCGAATTTCTTCCAGATGTCCTCGCTGGGCGCTGGCGGCTGCGGCGGCTGCTGGTGCACGTCCTCCTCCTCATCGTCGCACATGAAGTATGGCTGCACCGAGTCGTAGTCCAGGTCGCGGTTGCAGTTGGCGAAGCTCACGTGGAGGGGCATGGTCGCTGCGCTGCGTTTGGAGGCGACCCGGACGGGTGCAGGGCTGCTGCAGAAACCTGGCGCGTTGCGCAGCAGCCCCGAACCACTCCCCTTCCCAGACCCTCACTTCCGACTATCCCGACAGTCCCTTCACCAGGCTCGGTCTCCGGCTGCAGCGGCGGGAGGAGGCGTCACTCGTCGCCAGAGGCCACGCTCAAAGTATCGCGCCACCTTACGGAGAGGGGCTACAGACGCCGCATCGTGCGTGCACAGGATGCATTTTCGTGCACGCATGTAACCTATTCCCCGCATATTCTCACTCATTTCCTGCTAGTGTCTACCCCTCCTCCTCTCAGTCCTCTTCGTTCACCCAGTGTCTCTTCTACTTTCATGTCATCTGTAACATATGTGATTTCATGTATCTGTAAAATCTAGAACCCACGGATGAAAGAAGCAAAGATTTTTGTCTCTCTGAGACTGATTTAATTCATTTAATATGATAATCTCCAATTCCACCCATTTCCTGCAAATGGCCTTCTTTGCTATTACTTATGACTAAAAATATTCCATTTCTGAATATGAACCACAACTTTATTGTCCGTTCCTCTGTTGATGGACACCTTAATTCCATTACAGGTATTCTGAAAACGTCCGTGATAAACAAGTGTCCAAGGATTTCTGTGTGGTGTACTTGCTTGATGTCTTCTTCAAGGATTTTCTTAAAGCTACACTATTTTTTTAGATTTATTTATATTAAGTACATGAGTGCCTGCATATATGTAAGTGCGTCACCTGCATGCCCAGTGCCCATTGAGTTCCAAAGAGGATGACTGATTCCCTGCTACTGAGTCAGGACACTGCGAGCCTCGATGTGAGTGCTGGAAACTGAGGACCTCTGGACCCCTGCAAGAGGTCTTAACTGCAGAGACCATCGCCAGCACCGTCCCATACATTTGTAATGAATATATGATGTCTGCATCTATAAATGGCTCCTGCAGTTTTTCGAGAGTATAGATACAAATATGTGTGAGTTACACATTAAAATTAGCATGAACTAAACTTCTAAATACTTTATGATTAAATGTTACATAATGCCAGGCAGCATTGGAAGGCTGAAACAGGAGGATTACCATGACTGGGCTACATAGTAAGGTCCAGGATATCCTGGTCTACATAGTGAGAACTTTGCTCAAACAACAAGAAAATCCATAATGCAGAATTCTTTAAAAAAATTAAAAGATCTAGCTTACTTTCTCTTTTCTTTCCTTATTTTATACTAAATTTTTAGAAAGGAAAATAAAAGATTTAAAGAGCACTGATAAAACATATATGCTATCTGGTTTCTGGACAATATCTTCTTATAGATATTTGAGGTCTGCCTTAAACTTCTAAATGAGGGGGGCTGAGGGATAGCTCACTGGTAGAGAGCACTGGCTGCTCTCCCAGAGGACTTCAGTTTAATTCCCAGCACCCACATGTTCAAAAAGACCAACTTTAAAAAACAGTAACTTAATATTTTGTGTTTACGCCAGGCAGTGGTGGCGCTCGACTTTAATCCCAGCACTTGGGAGGCAGAGGCAGGTGGATTTCTGAGTTCGAGAGTTCGAGGCCAGCCTGGTCTACAGAGTGAGTTCCAAGACAGCCAGGGCTACACAGAGAAACCCTGTCTCGAAAAAACAAAACAAAACAAACAAACAAACAAAAAATATTTTGTGTTTACTTTTAATTCTTCAGGGTTTTAATTTTTAAAAATTTTCAATGGTTCATTTATTCTTATTTTATGCGCATTGATTTTTTTGCTTACATATATGTCTGTGTGAGCATGTCCTCTGGAACTGGAGTTACAGACAGTAGTGAGTTGCCAAGTAGATGCTAGAAATGAAACCTGGGACCTCTGGAAGAGCAGCCGGTGCTCTTAACCACTGAGCCATTTCTCCAAAGAGTTTTTGTTTGTTTGTTTGTTTGTTTGTTTGTTTGTTTCCAAGACAGTCTCACTGTATAGCTCTGGCTCTATAGAGAACGACGAGCCTCTGCCTCCCAAGTGCTAAGATTAAAGGTGTGCACCACCATACCCTAGGGATTTAATTTTAACGAGGAGTTATTTTTTTTTAAATGTTTTTTGGCTGGAACTTTTAATGCCTATTTTGAGATGTAAGTTGGGAGCTACCAAAACAGTACATTTAGCTAAAGCTAAATAGCAACTCTCCTGTGAGAACTAGGAATGTTTTATTCTTTACCTGACATGGTACCAGCAGTGTTGGTTCCTGAGTACAAACATAGGCCATGCACAGCCTGACCATTTGACTCAACACCAGAACCTTGTAAAATTGGAAAGAGAGAGAGAATTGCCTCTATAAAGTCCTGCCAGGACCCCCACACCTAGGCCGAGGCTTGTGCATACCTGCATAAACTCAAGTAGTATGATAACATTTCTAAGTGCCCTAGGCTCTATCTTGCTATCTGCCCAGCTCCTAACATGTGACAAGACAAACTGCAAAAGGTCACAAAGGGCAAACCAACCTCTACAAACCACAAGATGCTTGGTTGGCCAGTGAGGCCTTTGAAGACACTGGGTGGTCTCTGCCAGACAGAGCCTCTGAAGCTTTCTTTCCAGCAGAAATTAAGCCCAAGGAGTTTCAGAGAAGGCTCCCCAGCAGGGTAGCTGGCAGAAAGGCAGGATGCCTCTTCACTTCCTGTCCTGCTGGAATTCTGCTCATCCCTCCTGAGCACAGTCCTAGCTCCTGAGCTATCATGCCAAATCCAGGGTACCACGCATGAAACCTCAGTACTGACCCAGACATCGGGAAAGGGGGTGGAGGGCTATCGTGCTGTGGTGTCATCTCTGCATATTGAGGCTGGACTTACAAGTCTTCCTTATGTACTGATCACAACAGAGAAAAATATCAAGTATTTGAATTTGGGGCAGTTCTGGGGCCCACAGTTAAAGGCCATGCGTAGTCCCTGTCTTGAGTAAAAAGAGGGCCTGGCATGTGGGACCCAACCTTGCCTGGTCCTACCCTCCAAGTGTCCTAGACACCTCAGGCCCCACCTTAGAAACATCCAATAGCTCCCAGCAAGAACTGGGCCCAAATAGGAGAGGAATTCAGAAAGAATGGGAGTTAGAGCACAGGCTCATTGAGCTGATGGACACCAGCCTGAGTCCCAACAACCGTTCACAAAAGGTGACAAGCTGGACAGCCAGTCTCCCCTGTGATTTACACTTTGAGGCTGTTACTGGTTATTTATGGTAGGGGGCATCTGCTCCCTCACTGTGGCCCACCACGTCCCTGTTGGACAGAGAAAGCCCAAACCCTGATCCTTGGACAAACTGTGGGAGAGGGCTGGAATAGTAATCAGGGCTAATGGATGCTGTGACTGCTTCTGTCTTTCCAGGAGGAGAAGATGGGGGAACTAGGCCCCCTTGTTCTACCCCGTTACTGAGCTCAGCTCCTCAAAGCAGTGCCTTCCCAGTATTCAAGCAATTTGCCAGAAAGCAGGGCCCCTGCATTTGTACTGTCTGAAGCCCTTATGACTTCTCACAGTCTTGCCTCTCCAGAGCATCTTAGACACTTCTGCCAGGGTCCAACCTGACACCAAATAGCTCACGTACTCCTAGGACCTTACATGGCTTTACAGGAAATCCAGCTGCCGTGCTCCTTAGGCACTAGTTAGGCAATAGCTCTGCAGTTTCCCCATGTCTCTCTCCCAGCAGAGCTCTTGGGACCCACACAAGGCTCTTCACAGACAGGCTGAACCAGAGTACTGCTGAAGAGCTTTATTTGGAGTCAGGGGGAGGGGGAGCCCGTACTGAGAGGGGAATGGTGAAGCAGTGGAAAGTGTGGTCCAGGAGAGGTGTGGTGCAAGGCTGTCCCAGCCTACTGTTGGAAGCAAGGCTGGCTCAGCTGCTGCAGACCTTGGTAGCTGCTGTGGTAGCTCCTGTGGTAGGGAGAGGAAGAGAAATAAGCACCCTCCCCTCATTGTTTTTCAGGAGCAACAGTCTGGGGAGGCATGGACAGGGATGGCACAGGGCAGATGTGGGTCAGAGATCCTCTTTCCCCACATTTCTGTGTGGTCCCTGCTGGGAGCTGGGGCCCCCGCACCACTTCTGTAAATAGCCAGGTCTCGGCCTCCTTGGGGAGAAGAGGAAGGATAGGAGCAGGTAGAGACCAGGAACTAGGAGAGATCGTGACAAGAAGAACAGAATTCCTATACATCATGGAAACTATACAAAGGGCCACATCCTGAGTGAGCACACTTGTCTATGTGGACAGGATGTGGTCGTTCATCCAGAGCCCAGCATTCTAGGCTTGTCCACAGTCCTATGGGTAATGGGGGCGGGGGGAGACTTACCTCAGTCACTTTCATCAACACACTCATCTGTAAAAACCAAAAGAAGCCCAGGAGTGAGAAGGGCCCTGTAAAAGGACCTCATCACACCTGCAGCTCAGACCCTCCCATAGCCAAGATCTGAAGCAGAGCCCTGGAGTCCCAGTGAGAGGGAAGGACCTTGAAGGGACAGACAATACAGAAGCCAGGGACAGACAATACAGAAGCCAGGGATACAAAGAGACCTAGGGAGACACTGAAGCAGAAGCACAGGAGATTTGGAAGTCATGGGGTCACAGGGGGACACAGGGACAGAATGTCCCCTTTGTGACACTGAGTTATGGGTGACACTGGGGACACTGTGGGGATACCACAGAGGCACACGGGGAACATGGAGATATGAAATAACATGTAAGGGACAACAGAACCAGGCACAGAGAGGACACAGAAGGCACCCACACAGACATGGGGTGGAGACAGACAGTCATAGGGACAGAGAGAGGCATGGACATTCTTGCTCTCACCTCTGATCTCTGGCACAAACATGTTTTCCCGTCGGAGTCCCATACGCTGTATGAATTTCTCAAATTCTTCCATCGCCTCTGGGTTTTCCTCAGAGTCTCTCCCTGTGAGGATGTGGGGCAGGTTTGAGGGGTGGTACTCAGCTCTGCAGAGAGCCAGAGACACAAGATGGAGGTGCAAACTAGCACAGAGGTCAGAGATGACCCTGTGGTTATCATAGACCCAAGCAGATCTGTGGGGTCACTACACAGTCCTATACAAACCCTGAATCTCAAGCCCATGAGGTTGTCCTTTGCCCTGGAGGGTTCCTACCTACAATAAAATGTCCGTACCAAGACATGTCCTTTTAAGTTCATATGACTGAGAGCCCAGGGAGTGAGATTTGCTGGCTCCAGGTAAAGGACCCACTACTGAGTGCTCAGGCCTCCAAAGGCCACACAAACCCCATTCCTACTCAGTTTTCTCCATTTTCCTCTTTGGATCTCACACATTTCCTGGGCAGCACCATGGCTGGACCCAGCACCAGTGCCAGGCATGTCTCCTGCCTTTCTTACAGTTACCAGAAGCAGAGACCAGGGACAGGACATGGGGCCTCCATGGCACCTCACCCATGAGCTTTCCCATCCCGAATGACTTCCCATCGTGCCGGCCTTCGCAGTAGAAAATGTAGTGATCCTTCACCGACGTCTTTTCAACATGGACAACCTTCTTGCCATGAACTGCAGATGAAAAGAAATAGCTTAGTGTCTCATTAAGACACTATTGAAAACCTTATGAAGAAACGAACACCTTGGGACACTTGGGTGGACACCCAGGACCTAACTAGTCTAGCCCTGGCCTTTCTGTGGTCCCCATAGTTAGACAGGACCATCTCCCACGGTAGCTGTCAAGCCCCACAGAGGCCCACGCACCTCCCTGTCTGGCTTTCCTGTCTTTGGGTCCTCATGGGTCAAGAGCTGAGCTGGGTAGGGGAGAAAGAATGACTCGGTTTTTAGGATTGGCCAGTCAGTGACCTCTAGGAAGTGACTGATGGCCTGTCTTAGGAGCTAGAGCAGGCAGGGACCTATCCACCCCAGGGCTTGCCACTGTAAGAGACACTGAGGCACAGGGACTCACAGGTGGTGTATTTGCCAGGCTCTTCCGTTTTCTCCATCATGAATTTAAACTCATGGCAATGACCCTTCTTCCTGTAAAACACAAGTCCACAGGCAACTGCTCTCAGCAACATAACTGAGGCTTGTTCAGCTCAGCTGGTATATCAATCCTGGTCAGGTAACCCCTTAAACTCTATGTCAGTCCTGTTCTACTTTTAAGGTGCTACCTTGGGACTGTATCCCCTGAAAGGTAGAAATCTTAGTTACCCAAACTCAAATAATGGCTAGCAAGGGAGAGAAAAACTGCAGAAAGCCCAAGTAGGGAACACATACCAGAATATAACTGTGGCCTCCAAGTCTCCTTCTTCCAGAGCTACTAATTTCACAGGGAAAACCCTACCAGGTATCTTGTGGTTGGGTAGGCTCCCATTGTGTACCATGGCCTTTGGGTACCAGGTCCCAGAGTACTGCGGGAGACAAAGCTGTGAGCACAACCAAGCCTTCCCTGGAGTCTACCCCAAAGCCAGGCATATGAGCTAGCTCCTGAATAGACACTCCAGAACCCAGGGTGCAGCCACTGAGGTGAGCTACTACCATGTGCTCTAAGACCTGTGGTCAACAAACAGACACCAACATCCTGATGGCAGAAGTGTCTTTCTGCAGCCCAGTGTATGTACACTTTGAGGTGTAGACCTCAAAGGGGCACTGGATGGATTCTTGCCCTGAATGTCCTGCTTTAAATGTTCTAGCCCTGGCTGTTACTTGAACAAGGATCCTTCACCCAAATCTGCTTTTCTATTCTAACTTAGGAGGACTCGTGTTTTCAGGAAGACCAGATCCTCTAACAGACTCATCTCAGGAGTCTTTGATCTGACTGCTGAGATGAAGAATGGAGTCAAACTCAACCTTCAAGGAAACATCCTCTACCTCAGCACAAATCTACCAACACCAACCAGGGCCAGGCCATCCCTACCACCACCCATTGTCCCTCCCATCCTCACATCCTCCTGGTCATCTGATGGGGCTTCCTGAGCCTTCAGGACAGACACCAGCCCAAGCAGCAGGATGGTGAGGAGCAGGCTCTTCATCTCCAGTCTCACACAGGGTTCTCACACAGGCAGGTCACCTGGGCAGTGTGTGCTCTGGCTCCTCACCGGGTGCCTTTTATATCCCCATGGACAGGGACATGTGCCCACTTGGCACTAACCATGTCCCTCCTGTCCATCTCTCATGGCCAAACACACATCCATCATGGAGCTGAAGGTTGTTGTTGTTGTTGGGATCTGATGACTATCAACTCAGTGTCACCTGCAGATAAAGAAAGACACACAATGCCCTGCAAGGTGTGTGCCACCCAAATGCTGTGCTCACAAAGGACCCTGGGGATGAGCAATTCAGGTGCAGTGAGGGAGGGAGAGCCAGGCTTCCCTTCACAACCTTGTCCTGCATCTGCCCATGGCTGCCCTGAGCTATGCTCCCTGAGACCTGGCCACTGACCTCCTGCTGCTGAGAACTAGGCTGAGCTTCACAACCAGAGACCATCTGCTGGGCCCCAGATGGCTTGGCCCCTGCCTGGGGACTCACCTCATTGTCCCTTCCCTACATGGATGTACCACCTGGACTTTCCTGTAAGTGGGGACACAAATTCCTGACTGGAGTCAGTTTAAGCATCAGCAGGATAGACCCCATGGCACTAGGCAATACCATGACCCCTGACCCACCTCTTCCTGCCCTGAGGCCAGCTGTGCTCTCTAAGAGCACTTCTTACTCTCAGATGTCTGGGTCCTTTTTCACTAAACGGCCAGTGTTCTTCTACTGAACCACCAGTTAGGGTGCAATTTCCTTACATCTCAACTGTAAGTTGACTGCATGAAGAATTTCAGGCACATATTAGGGTCATGAGTATGTTCCCCTAAAGGAATCGGTGAAAGAGTTCACGTCTGTGGACTCAATGGGGTTCATGTCCAATCAGGGGACTTGAGCTTCTGCTGCTCCCTCCTCTGAGGGCCCACTGACAGGACGTTTGCAGAGCCAGCCTGCCCTGGTACAACTGAGGTCCATGAGATTCATTTCTTGCCATCCTGTGCCCTGACATGAGATGGAGAACCAGGCTCCTCCACAGCCTGTCCTGAACCACTCTGTGCTCCTGTTGAACTTCATGCCTCTGGAGTCCACAGCCTCCCTTCTCATTGGCTTTGAGCACCTACACACACTCAACACAACCAGGTCTCACTCCCTACAGACTAATGGATGCACGAGGCACCATGAGTCCACGTGCTGGCCTGGGACCTGAGGTCAGTGAAGGCTGCCTTGGCTGCCCTGGCCTTAGCCCAACTTCCCTCCCAATGGGAACTCTGCCTTCCACTCCCATTCTGCAGTTCCTGGATTTAGCCACCTGCCCTGAGACACAGAGGTCATCTCTGGAGAAGGGTTTCAGTTCCTGTGGGCTGTCCATAGTCCATGGCCCTGGAGACAGGTGCTGGTCCCACAATGGCACCTTTGTCCCTCTCTGGACCAAGGGTGGACAGGCTCAAGTATCCATACACAATATTAGTGAGCATTGTCTGCCAAGCCTTGAACTGTGCTGAGGAGCTGGCATGGCCTGGGTCTTGATACTAGTATAGAAGACTCTGAGCAGGAAGCGTGATGTGCTGGGCGTGAGAGGGTGAAGCTGGTGCTCTTTAGGACGGATCAGGAAGCAGGTTAGCAGTTCTGTATTAAGGCAGAGGGCTCTGTCCTGTCAGATTGTCCTTTATACCATGCATGACTCATTCCTGTAAGCATGTCCCCTCATAGGCACATGTGTCTCAATCCTTGAACAGGAGGAGAACAACGCGCACACATGATTAGCAGAGCCAGGGGCATGTCAGTTTGCTGCTGACTTGGGCTGTGTCTGAATGTGGAAGGCCAACCTCACAGCCCCCTGAACCTATGGTAGACACTTTCTGTCACACTGACAGCCTCACGGCATTCCAGTCCAGGGCCTGTATCCCCTTCTGTGTTTTCCTAACACACGGCCTCAATGAGCAAAGGTGACGTAAATTTAACACGTAGTCATGTTGGGATCTGAAGCATCCTCCAGAGGTCCATGTGTGGAAGACTAAGTCACAGCTAGTGGCCCTGTTTTGGAGTGTTCTGCAGACTGAAGGCACAGGCCTGGTAGAAATGGGTCACAGAGAGCATGTCCTTCAGCTAAACCCTGCTCTGGCCTAGTCTTGCCAGACTCCGAAAGACAAATTCTTTCATTTGCAGAATGTATGACATGAATGTCCAAGGGTGACTGTGTGTGGGTAGGTGAAGTCTGAAGGAAGGAAGTAATAGGTGCTGGAAGACAATCACGTTTTCTCTTGTGGAGAATACATATTCATCCCCCTTGGACACATCTGTTTTGTCAGGCCTACTTCAGAGTTCTGACTCTTGTCTATCTGACTGAACTCTAAACACATAAGGCCACGCAGGATGTGAGTCACACTGTCCTCAGTGGATCCCAAATGGCTTTCAAACAAGATGCAGCCCACTACAGATTCCCAGTGAATTTTGGAGGTTCCCCAGCTAGCCCTCCTGCACCTGCAAAGGGAGACAGGCTTCTGCTCGGCAGGCAGCATGTATGCCTTTCTCTGTTTGCTATCCTCTGCCCTGACCATACCCATCCCTGACTCGGGCAGACGCCCTGGGCTGCAGTCACATGGTTTCCAGCGAGCCTTCCAGGCCTAACGGAAGACTTGTGAGGATACCCCACCCCGATCCACCTCCTGAAACCTTGGGCTGTGCCTTAGCCATGTCTGTGCATTTGTATTGCTCAGTGTCCATTACATAAGGCATTCCTTCTGTATCTACTGTGCATCTCGGCTTCCTGGTTGAACTCTGATTCATGTAATTATGAATTACTTAAAAGGTCATAAATGTTATGGGGAACATCAAATGGAACAAGTTGTACAGACAGTGTTGATACAGTGGGTGTTTGAATGTTAAACTGAATTGTCTGAGCCAACCTCACCAAGGTGACATTTGAACACAAAAATTGACTACGGTGGAGGAACATTCAACGTGGGAGGAACACAGGGTACAGACCTGAGGGAGAGAGCTGGGTTTGTTCCAGGAACAGACTGAAGGGCAGGATGTCTACAGCAGGCGATGCCTGTGAAGACTGGCCAAAGCCCAGGTCACTGAGAGGGCAGGTCAGCAAAGGTGGCTATGGGCCATTGGATAAAGACATTAGCTTTTTCTGTGAGAGAAACAGGGAGAAATGAAGGGCTTTGACCCAGCACAATGTGGTACACTTTTAGAGTCCTTCCAGGTATTATAAGCGGGAAAGGCTGCAATAAATGATCCAGGACAGAATGATGATGTGATGTTACCTACCTGGACAGAAGGGAGGAACAAAGAATGGACTTACATACCCACCACCAATACAGAGAAGACGAGAAAGGATCTGCAAAATCATTTTTAAGTAATAGAACACAAACAATGAAGACTTTGCATCCTTGGGGTGACTTACAGTATGTGGTCACTCTTGTCACAGCATCTTGAAACCTGTGGGGAATTTGAACACCAAAAAAGAATGTTCACAGCAGGTCTGGCTGAGTGGAGGAGACGGAAGTGGGATGTGAGGTCAAGAGCAATGGTTACAATATGTGAGACTCAGGGAGAAAACCCCCACATGCAGGAAGAACTCCAGAAACATGTCTGATCACAGAAGTGCCAGACCACATGGGATGGGGAGCAGCTCCTCACATGGGGGAGGGAAGAATGACCTCAAGTAAGAAACAATTCTAAGAACTATCAGGAGAACACAAGACAATGAACTCCTGAAGGAGTAAAGACAATTCAAGGGGAAAGGACTGGCTTCAGTGTGTCTCTGGGAGAATCAACATCCACCCAGTCAGACCTCAGAACAGGTAGAGTGATGTGGATGTCAGGGAGAAGAAGGTGCAGGATAATGAGGAGTATGGGGACATGTGGAGCTCAGAATAGCCATGCACCATCTGCTGGACCATGGCAGGACCACTGCTGACTCAGCCTGAGGAAGAAGGAGCCATGACAGGCAACAGGATACATCTTTAAAGCTATAGCAACTGGCTTTTCAAAACTCATCAAAAGACACACCATACCCGTTGAAGCCGTTGCCTCAAACAACTGGATGGTACTTTCCATGGAAGCCAGGCTCAGATCTGTGACACACTGGCTTCAGGTGGCTTGGCCCTTCTACAGGGAAGTGAGTCTCCATTACACAGTTATCTCTACCTATGGAGAGTCAACCTCGTATCTGTGCCATGCTGGCTTCGCAAAGCTTGGCTCTTTGACGGGGAAGTGGGTATCAGACAATGTATTCCATTTTCTACTGTGCATGAAGAGCTATTCACTCTGTCTTCAGCTGGCTCAGCCTTCTTAGAAGGAAGAGAAGCCTGGGGCTGGTTCACAGCCCCTAGCTCTAGTTGCCAGGTGATCCCTGTGGTGTGCCCTGTCACAGAGGTGAAAGCCAGAGGCTGTGGCTACTCGGGTCTGGTTTCCTGCCCTGAGCATTTTCCAGACCTATAAGTATTTAGTGTGTGTGTCAGAACTCCATCCCTTCCATTCAGTTATTCACTGAAGCCCTCCCCAACCCCTGCCAAAAAAAAGTAGAAAACAAACCCCAGACCATGTGTATTCATCTACTCTTCAGTTGACAAGCACAGATCCCACCATGGAATTATTAGGAAACATGCTACTGTGGACCTTCACATACAGGTTTTCATGTGTTCATCTGCTCTTCAGTTCACAGGCATCTGCATGGATTCTACCATGCTACTGTGGACCTTTGAATGCACATATCATGTGGACTGAACATTCTCAGTATCCATGATCCTAGGTACAGAGCTGCCCAGTCAGGATCCCTCTCCATCCCAACAACTGGAGAGCTGGAAGGTTGCTTGGGACAGTGACTGCACCATCTCTCAGTCTCATGTGTGAAGCCCAAGAGACCCCGTTCCCACAGGGGAAACACTTGTGGTTGCCCCTGTGTTGTTAACTGACGTGAACTTGAAGATCCACCTGCAAATGTTTACAAAACCAAACCAGAATTAATCTCACCATAGTGACCCAATGGGTT